CTCTGTAATTCCCTCTAACTTTTTTTTTTTTTTTTTTTTTTTTTAATCTGTTTTACTTCCAGGAGATGCTCTAGTTGCTGTAAATGACGTTGATGTGAATTCTGAAAACATAGAAAGGGTTTTGTCTTGCATTCCAGGTCCTATGCAGGTACAATAATTGAAAATTTATTCCAAATGCCTTCTGTAGAAACGAATACTATGTTTCTGTCGTACTTTCCTTAGAAAACAAATCTTAAGTGGTCTTTTCCTTCAAATTTCCCCATCTAAATTTTGAACGTGTTGGTTGACCACAGTCAAATTTGAAAGAGAGTAGAAATGTCAAAGAATTTAATTCTGGTAAGTTTTGTGAAAATGAGTAGGTAGGTGCAAATAAGAGACTCAAGCCAGTGTCCCATTGAGGGATATTGGGCACAGTTCAGCTGTTACATATTCTTTCTGTCGTCAGCCCAAGTCAGAAAGCAGGTGTGAAATTGTACAAGAGTCAGCATGCGTGTAGGTTTAGACTAACCACAGTACCTGACGTTTTTTGACCGATGTGGGTGTCCAAGAGTATTCTGCATTTGCAGGATTCTGGTGATTTGTGTTTCTGTACAAGAAGTAGTGCATACAGAGAATCAAGTTTCATTACTTTTGCTGCTCAGAAAACAATTTTACTATGTCACCGTTTGCATGAGGATTAATTACTTCGTGTTGCATACAGAGAAGTAACTCCTTTTTGACACACACAAACTTTTTGCCAACAGTAATTATAGTTACATGCACAGTTGGCTAATACGGTTGCTTTGAGAGTTGTTATTTTGAACACCATGATCTCAGCAAATGAAGGACAACATATCTAATGTTGTGCTGCCTTGCTCCTTGTGGTTAACGGGGATGGGGATGTCTGAACAGAAAATGGAAAGTATGGAAAAAAATATTGGTGTCTAGCTTAAAAAAATCCGTGAGCTGGAGAGTAGTACTGATGTACAGTGGATAAATAATGAGGAAAGTGCTCTTTTCACCTACTTTGGAAAGGCATCATAGAGGGAGTGTCAAAGAATGTCTGAATGGCTTTTTTGTAAATTACTGTGTTCTTAATGGTAACAATAGCTATGTAAATATTTACATAAAATGATTGTCTCTCTGTCAATATAAAAGAGAACCACAAATCATAAGTGAGTAAAAAGAAATGGTCTGAATTCAGAAGTAGTGCTATTAAGTATCTTTAAGAACCCTTAAATGGAGAATTTGATACGTATTTTTCTATTTAAATAGGAAATGCTAAGAGCCTTTAGATTAAATACTTTTAAGATCTTTCAAAATTGAATAGTGATCAGAACTGACCGAAGGCAATAACAAAAAATGGTATTAAAAAAGGTACTGACCAGATGAAGAATGTCTTTTTCCCCTCAAACCCGCTACGTTCATCCTTTCTTCTAGCTAAATAATAATTTTCTCAGGTGGTTCCTGGGGGACAAATATTTCAAGCCATGATTTATTTCGCAAGTTAAATTAACTGTTTAGTTGAATGTACTAATACAAAAAAATCTTTTTCTGCAGAAGAGCCTTCCTTTGGCTGGAAGCTGCTGTTGATTGTCTTCAATAATCTGCTCTTTCAGCTGCTTCAACAATGATTTTTCACAGTTCAATATTTGACTTTTCTTTTTTAAGAAGCTTTTGCTATAACCATATTGCTTTGATTTATTGTTTTAATTGTATTATTCTGATAGGTTGTAGTACCTTTAGTCTTCTTTATAGCTTATTATAATTTTATATTTCATTTTAAACCTATTTATGTGTTAAAAAGTTTAAAAATATTATCAAACAACAATTTATTTCATTCCCCGTCCCACTTTTTCTTTAGGGGAAAGTAGCTACACTTCTACAACAGTTAGTTCCACTTTGGTGGCTATATCTGATCTTATTGCTTTAACTTGTAATTAATTGCATTAATTGCATTAACTTGTAATGAATTCCTGTTTGCTGCTTTAATAACCAGTCCTACTTATTAAACAGGTGGGAACAATTTGCACTACTTCTAAACATTTAAATAGCACATATTTTTGGAGCTATCAAAGCATACAAACGCATAAAAAATTAAAAGGGGAGAATGCCAATTACCTCGGATGTTAGTAGCATAAGATGAAGTATCTTAAGTTATTTGCTTAAATCTGTCTCGTAAGAGACAAGGTAAAAGTTGCAAGTTGATATGAGATGAAGCAGGTTAAAATTATAGTGTATATTACAGTATGTCTGTAACTCCCAGGTAGTTTTTCTTTGAGTAGAATATAGGGTGGAAATTAGACAAATCCTTCAGTATTTTATCCAGCTTTTATTAATAAACATTTCCTGGAAAATGAATGAGCTTCTTTAGAGCATCTGGACTCTGAACGTTCTAGTGGCATAATATAGGAGGTGACAATAACAAAAATGTTTTACCGTCCAGGTGTTTCAAAAAAATGGAAATTTTAGGTTTTGATAAGCCTGCTTCTGTTTACAACTTAGTGTAAGTGCCTGTAGAACTACATCTGCAATTGCAGTAAGATTGAGTACTGGTATGTCAGTTTAGGAAGCTTTCCAAGATATTTGACACTATGAAGCTTGACTAAGCCACCAGAGTTGTGGTCAGGTATTGGCAGAGCTCCATGGTAGAAAAGCCTTGTCTTGCCTGCCTTTGACCAAATATGGTGTTGCTGTAACTATTAATAAATACAGAATGATCAAAACAGCAGAGATGATATAGTTTACTTAATTGTATCCTTGCTAGATTAGAGTATATGTATTGCTTGTTGATAAAATCCAATGCGACCCTTTTTGTAGTAGCTACTTTTAATGCAACATTAGCATTTACGTTGTCAGTAAGTCTGTCAAGTAGACAGTGATTACTTGAAATGTATGACTGTTCCTCATGTTGGCTTTCCAGAACCTTTTATTAAAGTGTAATTATTCCTCAGTTAACTGTGCAGCTTGAGTCAAGCCAAAAGAGCGATTACTGAAATAGACCGGTGGAGAATTTAAATATACAGTTCAGAGTTTTTGCAGTATAGAACACCACGTTCATGCTGCTGGAGAAACAGAGATTTGTTGTTTCTGAGACTTAGTAATAAAGACAGCTTGTTACACAAGCAGCATAGTTAATGCATTCTCATTCACCATATGTTGCAAAATGTACTGACCAAAAAAAGATGCCGTTTAAAGCAGTTATAATGTAGTTATGAGTTATTTTAATAATAAACTATGTCATTACTTTTCTGAATTAAATGTTAAACATTACTGGAAATAATTTCCAAAATAAACTACTTAGCTTCTTTCAGTCCCAACATGTGGCATATCGCTTATGATTATAATGTGTTTCTAGAATTCTGTTTTTCTTACTCAAATTTAGGCAAACCAGTTTCGAGGCATATAAGGACTAGTTTAGCGTATTTATTGAGCAATACGAGTCCAAATGCTGCATCAGTCTGTTTTTATTTATTCTTTTTCATGGCAGAACTATTTCTCCTTGGATGCTTGCATCTCGCCTAGTAAAATAAAGTCTGAATTCTGATTAAAGCATTTGCACTTTCTACGATTTTGTGTGTCTGTAATCAAAGCAGTTACTACCTAATTTGACACTGATCGCTGCCATTGTGTTCACTCTTTCTTCTCTAGGTTTGCTTATATGAATATTCATGACACTGGACCTAACTACTTTTTTCTTAACAAGATTTAGGAAAAAATCTAGACGTGCATTCATATAGATTTAAATAAATTTAGTGCTTTATTTTAATTCAACATAGTTGACTGTAGTTCTGTGCATCCCATGAAATTATAAAAAAAATACGCAGATGACAATTTATTTGAGTCTCACAGGGTTAATACAAAAAGAAGAGAGGCTCTTTTCCTTCTGTGATCTCTTTTAATCAGATAATTTGTAAACACTCAAAAAGCTAAAGTAACTGACGTTTTTTTGTGAGCTTTGTAGCCAAAGTTCCTAAGGAAACTGGTAAACTTTATAGAAACTAGTTTTGCTTACAGGCTTCCCCTCAACTTTTTTTTGTAATTTAAGTTTGAAAAAAAAGTACTTCTCCATCATCATTGTCACTGCTGTTATTATAGAAGAATTAAAATGACTGTGGTGCCTGTGACTGACAGCACTGATAGTGTAGCTCTCCTATTCAGCTAGGCTAGTGCTATTCTTAAAGGCCAGTCTTGGAAGCAGCAAAACTTCTGAGTTGTTTCCTAGCACCACAAGACAGAGGAGACCGAGTAAAAAGGGGAAGATGTGGACAAAAGAATATACTTTTCTTTAACGTAATACTTGAAAGTTGCAGAACCGTTTTAGTTGAAAGTTTTGAAGAGTATTCAGCCTGAGGCAGACATCCAGAATCAGAAATTTCAGCCTGAAATTTTGAGTTGCAGTTTGGCAAATCATAAGCATATGGAAAACAGTGACTTAAAACAGGAAGTGGCAGGCAGTCTTAACAGGCAGGCCATGCCTCCAGCTCTACCTATAATAAAAGCCGTATTCTTAAACATATAGCTTTCTTACAGATAAATAAACAGAAAACATGCCTTCCTGGGTCAGACCAAAGGTACATCAGCAATGTATTCCATTTCTTACACTGGCAAATGTTCAGGGAAAGTGTATTAAGAAACAAGTCAAATACAGAGTGACTTTTCCATCGTACTTTCCCAACTGCCAGCAGTCAGCACTTAGGGACTTGCTGGATCACTTACGGATTTGTACCTTCTCTTTTTTTAATCTTCTTCTTAAAATTCCTTTGACTTCCACAGTGTCATGTATCAGTGAGTTCCGTAACTGATTTATATGCTGTGGTCATTTTTATTGGTTTTAAAACTAATTAAGTGCACTTAGCATCCCCAGGTTCCTGGGCTATGGGAAAAAGTTAACTGTCCATGTCTTGGTCTTCATATTACTCCGTGCTGTTGGAGAGCTCAGTCACGTTCCACTTCGGTCATCTCTTTCCTAAGCTGAAAAATTCCCATCTATGTGCCTCATAGTTTTCTGCTATTGTTGGTCACCTTCATCTGTACTCTCCTGTACTTTGATTAAAGTCTGTTTGAGAACTACTCTAAGCATTGAGCATGTGTATTTGAGCAGTAGTGCGCATACTGTGTATTTAGAGTAGCATACTAATATGTTCTGCCCTTTTCCCATTCTTCATTTTGTCATGATTTCATTTCCTTTTCTGATTTCAGCTGTGTGTTGAGCTGATTTTTCTTTAAGTGGACTGGAATCAAACTTACGAAAGATTTCATAGTCACTATTTTAAAAATAGTGACTTCAATAGTCACATATTTAACCGAATCCTGTGCACTGCTCAGGACTAAGATTTATTTCTTCTCTAAAAAAAAAAAAAGAAATGTAGTCTCCTGATCATGTCCTATAACAACAGTTTCTAGCCTAGATTGTCTTTTTCACAGTAATTTTTCTAAAGGCAAGAAGTAGAGAAGAACTTGGATGAGAGTATAAAGAAACACAAGTGGTCACGCTCTTGGAGAGAATCAAGAAGATCCTGGAGAATCTGGAAGGGGACTGGAAGTCAGATTGTGAAGAGAGATCTTTCTCAGAATAGTGACTTCAGATCCTAAAGATGTAGTACTGTCCACAGTGATGCAGGAGACAGCGGGGGGGGGGGGGGGGGGCGGAGGGAGGGTTCAAATTCTGCTTAGCCCTGTTATATAGTTTGAGCTCTTGCCTAGAGGGCCATAAGGATGTGTCTGAAAGACAAGACTGAGGATTTTTTTAGCTTGAGAGACTACAGCAAGAAGTACATCTGTGCGTCATCAGTGTAGGAACTGCAGCCTGAGTGTTGTGAGTAAGTGTCCAGAGACAAGACGTAGTAGAAGTTAAGAGAAATAAGTACTGAGCCTTGGGAAAATCTGCAAGAAGTTCAACAGGGTATGAGAAAAAATCCTCTGAAATACATGCAGATGGAGTGGCACAAGAAAGAACTGAGTCACAGAACACCAGAGAAGGAAAAATGCATCTGTACAACTCTGAACGGTCACGCTATTGGGTCTTAAGAAACCACTGCTTTTTAGCTCGATGCTTCTGCTCCTTGAGTACTGCTAATATGCATTGTAATGAGTCATAACTGAAATGAGGAGCGAGCAAGCGGGCTAAGAGTTACAGTCAGAGAAGAAAGCAGTAGCACGTGGTGGGAGAGCAGGATTGGATGTAATGCTGTTCTAAAGAATGGGGAGAGAGAAGAGAAAAAAGCTTATAGCAGCCAAAATAGGAGAGGAAAAGATGAATGTGAAGTGTTGGGAGGGAGTAGACTGGGACAGGAAGAAGACAGCCAGGGACATAATGGTTGTAGTCAGTAGAGTTGATGACTGCAGCTTCTCTGACGGAGTTTGACAGGCACTGGGTGTTCTAAAGCGCGCTACTTCTTGCCAGCTCTCCTATCTTTACCTGTGTGTAGACATATACACCTAATTATGAAAATATAAATATCTCTCTATATTTAAATTTCTCCTCAGGTTTTTCAAATGTATTGCCACTAGGAAAATGTAAACTTTTTTTCCTTACAGCAGTCATTACCCTAAACTGTCACTGACTTTAAAGAGAAGCAGGATTTGGTGTGATGTATTATGTTTAGAACTTCCCCAGTCAACAGGCATTTTCAAGGTACTTTAAAGCAAACAATCTTGAGTAAAAACATATGAAAGAGGGAATTGAGAGTGTGTCTGGTTAGTTCAAATAGCTGTATTTTTAGTCTCTTCGAACGGTGATGAAAATTCAGATATCTTCCAAGAAAATAAAACATTTTGTTCTCCTTGGAAACTACAATTTTATGCTCAGTCAAGAGCTGAGTATTCCTTGTGTGTCCTTCTTTTATGCTTAGTAGGAAGTGTTCATTCACAAAAACTTTATTCTTCAATTTCATCACTGCTGAAACAATTCATTTTTGTAAGCCAGTGGCTCATAAAAAGAAGGTCTGTGAGGTGAATTGCAAAATATACTTCCAGACCAAGCTTGGATTTTATGTTGCTTGTGATTCCAGGGAATGTGAATGTATTCTAAAACTAAAGTTGTTTTTACTTTATTTGGGACATTAAGAAGAGTAAACCTTGTGTAATTTTTGACAAAGTAAGCTTAATCATCTAAATTTAAGAAGTTATGTTTTTAAGAGAGAATGCTCTGTAGAACTTTGATTATTCTTCTAGAGACATAGTGCACCAGGTGACATAAACAACAAATATTTACACTTCCTGCTGGTAGTAGATAATTGTTAGGTATAAGGTCAAGGAAACTCTTATTTCCTGACTTCACAATTAAAAAAAAACACGGTGAGGAAAAGTGAAAATTTCTGCAGGTTGAATAAAGAATTGTTCCTAAGTGATAAAAATTTTTTAGCACAAACGTGACTTTTGCAGTCGTCTTTAAGTTGATTTTTCTGTGCTAACGTACCTTTTAATGTTAATGCACCCTAAATAGCAAAGAAATGTTCATGAAAGAGCCTTGAGGATATACACTTATGAAAGTGCTGACATTTTGAAAGTCAAGCATTGTGTATGTTTCAAAATAGTGGTAATAGGTGTTGTGTTCAAACAAACTCAGACCAGTAAGGATATTTTTCCATTGTCAAAACCATAAGAATCAACTATAAAAACATACCAGGCCACACGCTTACTCACATGGTTCGTAAAGCATGCAATAACTGACTTCGTCCTTAGTAATGGGCAGTTGTGTGACACTGCATATATAACTGGCTTTCTTCAAACAGCAGGAAATGTTGAATGCTTATGTCTCAAATGTAAGCTTAAAAAAATCTGTCAGTTTGGCAGAGAACTTTGCCCTTAAAAAAGCCAAGAAAATGTCGTCTCTTGTAGGGCTCAAACTATCTTTTTATCTGTTTCATCTGATATTCAAAAGTGATTTAAATACAGCCTTACTGTCTCAGTAATTGATTATCTTAATAGGTGAAACTTACATTTGAAACATCAGTCTTCGAGCCAGAAGGAACCTCTCAGCAAAGGTTTAAACGGGCCCAGTCAAGTATGAACAATCTAGTTCGGCTTCTGTGGGGAGAAGACGGTACGGACCTTCAACATGCTATCCAAAACGTGCCACATATCGTCATGTTCCTCTCACTGAAACTGGATTCTGAAACATCTAAGGATGAGGTATGTGGCTAACTAAATACAACTGAAGATGAAAGGTAACAACTCACAACGTCAAATGCTATGCCTTTAGATTTAAAATAAATCTTCCTAATTGTTTTGAATAGTGTATAGTCTGCAAAATGTCTATTTTGACAGAAATAAGGTCTGAAATTCCATGAAAAATGTTAGCACCGCTGTTGACACACTCTGATTGTAAACTTCAGATCACCTCAGCGCTGCTGAAGGTCTTGACGTAAAGAACAGTCTACAGGTGTTAACAGACAAAGTAGAGAGAAATTTCCAAGTTCATTATCGTCTCTCAGATGCTCACTGTGATGTTTTCAGTCTATCTCTCAAACCTGAAGTAGGAAATACACCTAATCAAAAAAAAAAAAAAATTTCCCCAGCAGTAGCTGTTGGCAGTCTCCATATTTAATGTGTCTAGCCCTTCCTATTTTGAAATGATAATGTGCCTTTTCTTAGAGAACTCTCATATGCCTACTGTTTGCAACCAACTGTTGATGTTTGCTTGGGCAACGTTCTCGAGCTACAGGAGTACTCTTTCTTTATGCCATAAAGTTTTCATTTATTTCTCTTTCACTTTTGCGTTCCTCAAAAAAATGTTGCCAGCATATATATAACCCATTCTAAGTTTGTGTAGATGTGTTGATGAAGCCATAGCTACAAGTACTCTACTCAGGATGCATGGAAGATACGAGACAGTGTGGAGGGCTCAGTTTGGTCTCTTGCCTGACCTGAAAACGGCATATGGCCAAAGTAGACTCTTCAGGAACACACTTCTGGAAGAAGACTCTTCCCATCTTCTATAAATTCCCCTTAGAGAGGAGGAGTTTTTCCAGTTCCTGGGAAAAGAGTGAGGGAGTGTGGAGCACAAAGATAGGCTAGGATGCATTCTTTGCTTTCCCTCCCACCGATTAATCATTAGATCAAGTCAGTGCCTCATCCCTTCTCTGGGATGTTATCCTTATCTTGTTAATACTATTATTCAACTGATAGAAGCCTGTATTGCTCTGCTAATGATGATTAATGGAGAAAAAGTATTGCAATTGCACGTAATGGAGTTTGTTTTTATCTTCTAGAGACAGGGCTGGGAGGAGAACCCTAGAAAATTACATGATATAATGACGGCATTCAAGAATGTTGTATGGTTTGTAGAGTCAAGTACTTGAAAGCTAGGAAATGAGAGATTTAAGGTTACTTGTGCAACAGTAATTCAGCCCTTTTGTACATATGTGGCATGACTGTCTTGCAGAAGAAATGTAGTATTTAAAGATGCCTATCTTGTGCAAAGCACAAGACGGACAGATGAAAGTGTTATAATTGATGCTTCTTAGGCAACCATAAATCTGGTATTTCGTAACTGGAGTACTTGACTTTGCAATATAAATTATGCCCTTTTAAATTAATATTTTAAGGTAATATATGTTTCATTACATATTACAGCTACGTACTAACGCTGCACACTTTGGTTTGCAGTTCTTTCCAATACTGTTTAAGAGTTTACACTTTTTCACAGGAGGCACCTTCAGTATAAATTAGTTTATACAAGTGTCTTTTATAAATGTTTATAGCCTCACAACCAGGCAAGGTCACTCTGTTCCCTTTTTCTCACCCTGACGCTGTTTCCATTAAAACATATAATATCACAATATTTTTCCACTTTTGTATTTCCCTATAGTAAAAGTGAAAAGAGCTCATTTAACTGTAAATTAAATAAACATAAGATGTTTCATCAAAGTTCACTCTTATGTTACAAAGTTATTGTTTTCTTCAATTCTAAGTTCATTGTCTAAGACTCCTGTGTTAGATGTATGGAACAGCTATGACAACTGTTGTAGACTTAAGTCCAATGTTGTTCTGGTCACTTAAATAAACTTTATGACATATATTTAAAAAATGGATTTCAGAGCCTCTGGCTCCCCTACTGGCAGGTAAATAGGTATGCAGATGTGTAAGTGCTAAACTAATTGCAGTTCCTGCACTTCAGAGTAAATGGATCACTACTTGCTTGCCCCATTATTTCTCTGCTCTCTCCCAGGAAACAGGCTTAACCCTGAACGTTGAGCGGAGGTAAAAGAGGGATTGTAATGTGCTTGTTTTCCCTTCACACCGTGGAAGAATTGTTTCCTGAGAAGTCTTGGCAGTTAGGCGGCCCCAGATAGTCTCTACTGCTGGGGTATGCTTTGCTGGCATCATTAAGCTCTTTATAACATTCATTAACAAAAGAATGCCTTCTTCTTTGAAGCAGTGGTCTTTAATTTCGTTCGGTGAACAGTAAGAGGCATTTATCCCATAGATGTATTGTTCCAGATTTAGTTTACAGTACTTTGAATTAACACTGAAGTTGCTATCCGTCCTTGCCATCTTGCACAATAAAAATGTAATGATCCTTTACTAAGCTTCTTTACCCCGTCCAAAGGAGACGTGGTATGCAGATCACATCCTTGCACATAATGGCAACTATGACTATTACTAATTCCCCTCCTTGTGAGCCCTTAGCACCCAAAAAAGGAATTCATGAACTCCAAGAAACATCAAACTCTAAGACACAACAAGCTCTGTCTATTGAAGCATAAAGGAAAACAGGTGAAGAAAGAATTGAGACTGGGGGAGGTATTTTTTCCCCATATAATAATGGTTTCAGTGAGTATGTTTCTTTTTCACTTTTTTTTTGGTAATAGTTTAGTTCATGGTAGGCATTATAACATACATCATTTGTACCAGCATACATTATAACATCTTTATATACTTGAGGTATTTTTTTGTGATCTCATCCTCTGAAGAAATAATGTTCATATTTCTTCAATGTGACAGTGTCACTGGAAGCTTGTGTTTAGTATACTTGTAAAGTAGGTATTACTGAGTAGCTGTTAAGATAGCTTGGTTCATACAGACCCTGACTGTGTACTTTCTGAAGCATTGCTCCCGGTTTTTATAGTTTCTGAATCAATCTTTAACACTTCATAGTCGTCTTTTCATCTGTGCACAGTCCATTGTCTCTTTTTACCGTGGTGCAAGATGCAACTTAAAACATCTGTTGTCAATGCACAGCATGTGAAGGTTGTCGGAGGTTTTTAGCTGGTCAGCACTGTTTTCACAGAATTTCTTTCAGCCGTTTCTTTTGTTGTGAAGACTGCACTGATGGGGGAAAAAGTGTGTTATTTAGGCTTATTATCTGAGGAATGAGTAAAACAGAAATAAAAAAGGGGAATTGGTTGAGAAGCCATTAGTTTAGAGACTTGAGAGCTCTGGTCAGGTTTTGAGTTGTTTTTTTTGGTTGTTGTTTTGGGTTTTGTTTGTTTTTTACGCTTTTCAAAAATGAGCTCTTTCTCATTTATTAATTCCATTGTCCTTGGCCTATGAACTCTTCGGATAAAATGGCACATTTCAACTTGCTTTAAAGACAGCCTGATTTCCCTGTGGAGTGGTATGTGCTGAACC